GACCTCCAAAGGAAAGAGTAGAAGCCTTCTAGACAGCAAGCTTTGCACGAAATTTATTCACCATCGGCTCCCACACCTTCTTATTTCCAAATTTACTGCCAATAGGCAATCCCAAATAAAGAAAGGGTGCTCGACCTACTCCACATCGTAACATACCCGCTGATCCCTTTAACCATCCTTCCGACACATTATAGCCATAGATACTGCTGTTGTTAAAATTTATTCGCAATCCAGACATGAGTTCAAACCATCTTAAAACATCATTCACCATTCGTATATTCTCAGCATCCGCTCTGCCCATAATTATTGTATCATCGGCGAACTAAAGTAAAGACACAGTCATCCCTTTCTTTCCAATCTCGATCCCATGTACCATTCCCTCCGCCACTGCTTTCTGTACCAAGCCTTGTAACCCCTCACCGATCATCAAAAAAAGAAAAGGAGATAAAGGATCCCCTTGACGTAATCCTTTACCTACCTCAAATTCCCTTGCCGGGCTTCCATTTACCAAAATCAAAGTTCTCGCCGTTGAAAGGCACTCCATAATCCATCCTCTCCACTTTGTTCCAAACCCAAAACTATCCATCATCCAGTCTAAAAAGGACCAATCCACACAGTCATATGCCTTTTCAAAATCTACCTTAAATACAAAAGCTGGCTGTTTCCTGTTCTTTATCTCATCTACTACTTCATTCAGCACCAATACACTATCAACCAATTGGCGGCCCCCCGCAAAAGCAGATTGAGTTTCACTCACTATTTTTGACATCACCGATTTCAATCTATTAGCCAATACCTTCGCTAATAATTTATAAACACATCCAAGCAAGCTAATGGGCCTATACTCCTTTAAATTCGCAGCATTCAATTTTTTAGGGACCAAAGCTAAAAAAGAAGAATTTAGACCCCTCACCAGTTTACCATTCCGATGAAACTCCGAGAAAAAACTGATGAAATCCTCCTTTATGCAATGCCACGCAAATTTAAGAAAATTGAAGTTGTACCCATCCGGTCCCGATGCCTTTGAACCATCACAGGTCCTTAAACCTTCCTCAATTTCTTCAACCGAAAAAGGCCTTTCTAGCCATTCTTTTTTCTCCTCTAAAATCTTTCAAAATTTAATACCGTCGGGCTTGGGTCTATTCCATGGGTCACCTTGGAACAAACTTCTGAAATATTTGACAATTTCATTTTTGACTGCTTCTGGATCTTCAATCCACACCCCATCACGCATTAAGCCTGCAATATTATTTTGAGCCCTTCTCCCATTAGCCACATTATGGAAGAAACGGGTATTCGCATCACCCTCTCGTATCCACCTACTCCTTGACTTCTGCTTCCAGATTAGTTCCCTTTTTCTCAAAACATCCCCCATCTCAGAGAAGCCTTCTTGCCTTTTAACAATTTCAAGTTCTTCCAGGTCAGCTACCTCATTCTATATATCCACCTGCTCTATTTTTTTAACAGCCTGCACATACTAGGCTTCCATATTTCCAAATACTTCCTTGTTCCATCCTTTTAAGAACTCTTTTAACAGTTTTAACTTTTGTTTGCATTTATACCCTGCAAACCCCTCCACTGCCATCTCTCTCCACTTATCTTCTACAGCCTTCTTGAATTCTAGATGTTGTTGCCATGCATCTAAGACTCTAAAAGGCCTTGGTCCCCAATCTGTTGATTTACACTTCAAAACCATTACACAATGATCAGAAATGTTTCTTGGCAGCCCCTGCTGAATCCATTCTCCTCCCATATTATTCATCTCAATACTCAACAAGAATTTGTCCAGTCTACTCCTTGCTGTTCCATCTGCCTTATACCATGTATAGCGTCTATTCGTCAATTTAACATCCACCAAGCCTGTTGTCACAATGAACTCCTCAAAATCCCTCATATCTGAACTCACCCCTGTTTTCCCTCGCCTCTCCTCAGGACCTTTAACAGCATTAAAATCCCCTGCAATCAACCACCGCCCTTCCTTGTCAATCACCCTCTTCCTCAGCTCCTCCCACAACTTAGCCCTCTTCTGTCTATCATTTGGGCCGTACACATTTATTAGGCTACACTCTTGTTTATTTACTCCCCATTCCCCCAATATTCCCACATACCCATCACCTGTAAACTCTTCCCGCTTAACAAAATGCCGTCTGTCCCATAGACATAGCAGACCCCCTAATGCTCCAAATGAGGCCTTCGCAACCCATTCGAACTCATCAGAGTTCCACAAAAGTTTACAAATACCCACATCTATCCTCTCTAACTTTGTTTCCTACAAGAATAGAAAGTCCGACCTTTCCTCTCTAACCAGCTTTCCCACTTCCTTCCTCTTCACCATCCCACCCAAACCCTTCACATTAAAGGAAATAATCTTCATTTAATCAAAGATAAACACACAACTTCACACCTCACACCCTTTCCTATACCCCCAACCCGTCTCTCCTCCCTGCCCTTTCTCTATCCTCTGCCTCTATCAACCTAGATTGTAATTCCTCATCATTATCTTCAAATTGGATACCCAACCTCTTTCCCATCCTCATCATCCGGCACACCTCATACAAATTCATCTCCCTTTGGATCACCCTATTTCTATTTACAATATCCCCATCCGAAATAGACATACTACCCTTTAAGCGTACCTTGTCTTCCCTTGCTTTTCGATCACCCACCCTTCGTGTCTGTCGTTGTTTTGTTCTGGTTGTTACCAGCGGAAGCCCTTTCGCCCAGATCTCCTCCATGCTTTCTGGGTAACAATCTTGGAGAAGTCATTGCTTTTTGCTCATTGAAGCTCTGTTTTCGGGTTTCTGCGATTTTGATGCAGCTTTCGGGTTTTGGGTGTTTAATCTAGGCCCTTCTATGCTCATTTCTTTTGTCTGTCCATGGTTGTTGCTTTTATCCGGCCCACTCCTTTTTTCTGGCCCAACAGAACTCAACCTTTGGAGCCCATGTTCTTTAGCCCACCCATATCTTTCGTCCCCTTCAAACTCCCTCTCTGTTTCACTTTGTTTCCAGCTTTCCTTTCCCGTTGCAATCTTCAAATTCGAATTTAAATCCATATCTTTCATTAAATGCATTGAATTAGAACTCCCATCATCGCCGTCACAAATCACATCCACACCCATTTCCGGGTCTTCATTCTAACTCCACGCAACTGAGAAGTCATCGGACTCCGTTTTCTGATCATTATTCCGATCATTCTCCGTCAACCACCAGTCCAGATCCAACCGCCATTCCTCCTCTACTATCTCTATTTCATACAGCTGATCTCCTACCTTCAATTTGATTCTTTTTGCAATTCTCCTAGACTTTGTGCATAAAATCAATACTCTCCCATCCCATAAGATTGATTTATTCTTTTTGTCCTCATGGATCATTAGAACTTCTCCGACTATCTCCCCTATCTTTTGAAAACATCTCTCACCCCATGCCTTTAATGGCACTCCCGATATACGCAGCCAAACCATTCGGCTTGTCTCCTCTGGTGCCATCTCCCATGGTTTTATGGATTCAAACCACAAATCAAACAATTCTTCATTAATCTTCATATACTCAGATAAAAATCCTATGGCTCTTTCAATTAATAACACCCGTCTTCCCCCTATTGGTGTTAACGATATTGAGCCTCCGTCTACGTCAATACGTTCTTGAATCTCTGATATCAAACCCAGCGATCTCACCACTGCCACCATGCCGCCCTCTAGCCAGTGCAACTCTTCACCCGTAGGAGTATATTCCACTACCATATTCTCTTCAACCCTTTTTTTAACCTCGTCCTTATCCGCAG